TTTCTGTACACACCAGGGACTCCCTTGTAAAGCAGATAGTGACCAGAAGTAGGCAATTAACCGAAGCTGTTTTACGGGCTTCTTCTTTGGGCACCGTGGACCCTCTCCTGCATTCCAGGCCTTGGGATGAAAGCACAGTTTCAAGACTTTCTTTCCTAGATAGTGGAAATGCTACATAGAATTTCAAGGACTTCCCTTCCCTCATGCTAATATAGTGTTTCTTGTGATATTGGAACACCTGGCAATATTACCAGACCAGGCTCAGGACTACTGAGTTAACATGTGAGACTTATCTCCTTCCTCCCCTTGCCTCAGTTTACTATTTAATCTACCTAATTGGTAAAAGGCGTTTCCTGGTAACCAGGATGCATTACAGTATCATGTACAGGATGTGCATTACAGTACAGGCTGCTGGTTGGTAACAGTATTGCAGTTTCAGAGTTCTTCCTATGCTGTCTCCTGCCTCAATTTCATTTCACTGAAATTTGTTGGCCTGACTGGTGTAGCTCAGTGGCTTGAGGACGGACCTGTGAACCAAAGGATCACGGTTCGATTCCCCGTCAGGGCACATGCTTGGGTTGCAGGCCAAATCCCAGCAGGGGCCAGTTCCCAGCAGGGGATGCACCAGAAGCAACCATACATTGATATTTTTCTCCTTCTCTCCTTCCTTTCCCTTCTAAAGATAAATAAATAAAATTTAAAAAGATTATAAAAAATACAGAAAAGATTAAATAAAATATTTTAAATAAAAAAAAAGAAATTTGTTGGAACTTGCTTTATAGCACAATATGGTTAATTTATTTGTGTTATTTTATTTTGCTCTTTCCATTCCAAAGCTGTAACCATAGGCATTTAGAGGTAGACTAAATGACACAAAGAAAAAAAAAATACCAAGACACCCGAATGAGATGCCTGGTGGAGACAAATCACACTCCGGGGGTTGGCAGGGGCAGGGGCACCAATGTGCTTCTCTGCTTTCATCTGGTGCTCAGTTTGGGAATAACTCAGTGCAGGTCCACAGGGAAAGTTGTGGCTACAGCGGATCATCTAGAAATGTGGAATCTGATGTTATTTAAACGTGCATTTCATCACTCATAAAAATAAGAACTTTTTAGTAACCTTTTGTTACTGATTTCCAGATTGAGTGCAATTAATGCCAATAATAAGCTTTAAATAATTTCATTGTTTTGAAGTTTGTTAAAATTTGCTTACAGTACTGTATGATCAGTGAAAAATGTTCCAAGTGCGCCTCTCTTTTGCCATCTGGTGTTCACGTTTGGAAAATACGCTGGTGCAGATTAGAAGGAAAGGCTGGGTATAGTGGGTCATCCCTGAATGTTGAACTCAATTTCGCTGCTCATGTTAAGTTTATTTGTTTAAGATTTTATTTATTGTTAGAGAGGGGGTTAGGGGAGGGAGAAAGAGAGGGAGAGAAACATCAATGTGTCGATGTGTGTAAGAGATACACGGATCGGTTTCCTCTCATACACCCCAAACTTAGAATCTGGCCCAAAACCCAGCCATGTGCCCTAACTGGGAATCCAACCATGACTGTTTGGTTCGCAAGCCTGTGCTCAGTCTGCTGATCCACATGAGCCAGGGCTCATGTGAAGTTTTTTTGTATCTCTACAAGGTTTTGGGGAAGGGAGGTAAACACGGGTGTAGGTTTGATCCCTGGTCAAGCCTCATGCAAGACTCAAGCAATGGCTCTGACTGGTGTGGTGCAGTGGGCTGGGCATCTGCCTGCAAACCAAAAGGTCACCAGTTCCATTCCCAGTCAGAGCACTTACCTGGGTTTGAGGCAGCAGACAGTCAGGAGGAAACTCTGGAGGTGCTCCAGGGCTAAGAGAAAGGACACTGATATAGGACAGAGACCCTGTTCCAAGACCAGTTGTTCCTGCTTTCTGGAAAAGTGCTGAATCATGGCAAATCATAACTGCACCTGCACAGAAGATGCTACATGACCTCTGCTTCATTATAATAGCATTGTAATAAACCAGCCTTGTGGGACCCCCTTCCCTAGTAGTCAATCAAGGAAGATCATGGGAGACCACACACACAGTAAGCTTTAAGGTAATATAACTACTTGTACATGGGCAATAAAACCCTGCCAAAACAAGAAATATCGCTCTGTAGGTATAGAATCCCTCCAGCCCCTGAGATAAATCTCTGCTCGGAGTTAGCCTGCTCCCATGTTCTGTGGAGAGTAATATTGCTTAATAAATCTGCTCTCCATCTGTCTGCTATAAACTCTCTGTGTTCTGTTCAATTCTTTGTTTGCAATCATCAAGAACCTGGTTACCTGTGCCCACTTGTGACAGGTTGTGGGCCAGGTCATCAGTTGGGAGCATATGAGAGGCAAAGAATAGATGTTCCAAATGAAAAATAAGTCAATAAATTTAAAAAAGTAAACAAAACACAATTTCTATGTGGATCTGTATATATTAATGGACCCTGTATTCTTTTCCATCAATCCGTCTATTCATGAGGCATTAATCCACTGTTGTGCTTACTGTAGCTTAGTAATACAATACACCTTTTACTTCCTTATTTTAAAAGGTAAACTGAAACTGAGCTTGTTTTACTTTTAAAAAATTGCTGAGCCCTGGCCAATGTGGCTCAGTCTGCTGGAGCATTGTCTTGTAAGGTAGGATAGATAGCAAACTAAGGAAAGGAAAAGGGAAACATGTCTCACCCACGGACTCAGCCGTCCTGAGCCGGATTTGATAATAGTGCCAGGTGTTCAGAATATCACAAGAAACACATGGTAGCGCACGAGGAGGGAATTCTATGTACTGTTCCCACTGTCTGGGAAGGAAAGCCTTGGAATTAAACTGTGTGTTAATTCCACGGTCTGGTTGGTAGGTGGGAGGGTGTCCACAGTGCCCAAAGAAGCCCACAAGGCAACTTTGGTTACTTGCCTACTTCTGGTCACCATCTGTTTCACGAGGGAGTACCTAATGTTTACAGAAAGCCCATAAATAATTTATAATGTTGGGTAACTGCCCCAGCTTCAACTGGCTCCTGTCACGTATTTGTTTTACAAGAGGAACAAATGGGGTCTGGGCTGAGATGAGCATTCAAGCTAACAGACCCCCCCCCACATACCTGCATTTGGGTAGTTACTTCCCCCATGGAGGCTGGCACCACCTTTACCCACCAGTTAATATTCATTTCTTCACCCCGATCCTGCCAACTACCGGATTCCTCAGGACCAAGGACCTGAGGCTCTTGCCACTGTTGCCCTTGACTGTTGCCACCCTTACCTTGCTCTGCCCAGAATCTACACCTCTCTCCCCCACCTTGGCAAGGCCTGTTCTCTTCCATGAAAACATATCACTAGTAAACCCTGCTTGCTCATGAATAGACTGGCTGATCTGTAATTCTTTACTGCATCAGCAAAGAGAACTGAGTTTCTCCCATAATAATTCCATAAACCGAAAGGTTGTAGTACAAGCTCTAGTCAGGGCACAGGCCTAGGTTGTGGGTTTTGTGCCCAGTGGGGAGACAACTCTTTGATGTTTCTCTTTCACATCGATGTTTCTCTCCTTCCCTTCCCTTCTCTCTGAAATCAATAAGCATGTCCTCAGGTGAGGAATAAAAAATTTTTTTCCTGATGTTTTAAGCTAGATCATATATTTATAAATAACCGGGGGAAATGGCGATCATTATATATTTTCCCCTCCAAGAACATGCTGTTACTTTCCTGTTGTTCAAGTGTCTTTTTGAAAAAAAGATTTTACTTACTTTAAGACAGGGGATGGGAAGGGGAGAGACAGAGAAAAAAAAAACATCTATTAGTTGCATCTCACACGCCTCCAACTGGGGACTGAACCTTCAACTCAGGCACATGCCCGGATTGATAATCGAGCTGGTGAACTTTAGATCTGCGGCACAGAGATCATCCTTCCAGGTCATGGGGGTTGGTGTCCCCCTTTGGTGAACCCACTCCAGCAGGAATGGGGTGGGTCATGTGTAGGTCTCCCTCATGCAGGAGAGGGTCTGATGGGGTCCTCACTGAATGTTTGACATCTCTGTGTATTGAACTCAGCTCTGGTTCTTAGAAAAGTGGCCTCTGGGAGCTGTTGGCACCCTTCCTTATGTTTATGCAGATGTAGATGTTTACCCTGTTCTCACCTTGAGTCTTGTTGGACTCCCACCCATTGGGTCCATGGGAATTTTGTGTTCCTGGGCCATTGTGGACATTATCTGGGAATGGGTGGCCAGGAATGACCAACATTGTGCATGTCTATTATCCCATCAGACTTCACAAACCAGTTCAAAGATACAATAAGGAATAATTTTGAGATGGTGTCAGCAGTGCATTAAACTCTGTGGGGCCCAGGTACAAGGAGGGTGCATTACAGAACCTGCTGTGTTGCAGGCTTCATGAATGCCATGTGCAGATTGGGTGCACCTGTCACAGGAGAAACTCAGTTCCTGCCAACGCAGTAAGGGATCACTGTGGGCGCCACTAGCCCCCCATGGCAAAGCCAGGGGGTCAGGACTAGCTGGCATAGTCACTGCTCGTGGAGAAGTGCCGTAAGCCCCCCTTGGCAAAGCCGGGGGGCCAGGGCCAGCTGGCAAGGCCGCTGCCTGTGGCACAGTTTCTCTCTACTTTGCTTGGCTCCCTGCCTGGAACCTGTTGTGGCTAGACAATAGGTTTCCCAAGAAAGCTAGACAGCTTGTTTCCCTGTAGAAGGGTAGGTCATGCACCGGTGCTTGATAAACAGGGAAGTTTTGATAGCACCCTGTGTTCCCCTGTTGTTCCGTAGAGTAGCTTTGCAGAAAGGACAAAGAAACTGGCTTGGGTACGGCCCCCTCCTGCTTATTCCCCATAATTGTAATAAAAGCCTTGAATAAACAGAGTTCGGGGCTCAGCGGGATGCTGAGACCTCTCCAACCTGACTCCCTGTGTCCTTGACTCATTTCCACCCCCTCCCCTCTCCTGGCGAGGCTGGTCCGCAGCAGATCACAGGTCATCAAGTGTATTGCCGTGCAAGCAGGGTTTATTAGTGACACATTCTCATGGGAGAGGACAGGTCTTGCTGAGGTGGGGGTGAAAGGTAAGAGCACCAGGCCCTTTGTCCTGAGGACTTATATAGTTGGTGGGTAAAAGTGGACCCTCTCATAAAAGATAGTGGGCAGAGGTAAGGAATTAACCAGATTTGTTTTACAGGTTTTTCCGTGAGTGCTGTAGATCCCCTTCCATCTTCTAGGCCTTGGGATGAATACCCTTTGAAGGCCTTTCTTTCCCAGATAGTGGAAACAATACCTAGAATTTCAATGTGTTAGCATGGTGTTTCTTGTGATGCTGGAACATCTGCCAATAGAACTGGACCAGGTGCAGGACTGCTGAGTCACTGGGTGACACCCATCTTCCTCGTCCTCCCTGACTTGGCTCACCATCTACTCCAACACACCAGTGCAGGCAGGTGCTGTTCCCAGTGTCAGTTCTCAGCAAGGGGTGGGTGAGGGTCTTGTTTCACAGGCCACTCTCAGCACCACCTGCCTGTGTTGAGGAGGCTCTGAGGGTGCCCAGGCTCAGTGAGAGGGTGATCAGGGGGAGGCACCTCCCCAACCTCAGGCTTCCTTCTCAGGGCAGTTTAGTCTGTGTGGGGAAAGCAGTGGGGTCCTACTCAAATTCTGAATTTGGTTAAACACCCCTGTCCTAATCTTCCTTTGTCCACCACTAAAGACCAGGAAGACATGGGCACTGAAGGCTGTTCAGTAGGGCTTTGCGATGTCAGCGATTCTCTTGCTAGATTCTGTCTGTGCTGACTCAACTTTGAATGTCAAACCAAAAGGCTGGAGTTCCCATTTCCATTGCACAGACTAGGAAGCAGGCAGAGAGAAGTTGAGAATCTTGCCTTAGGTCACACAGCTGGAGGAGACAGAGCTGAGACTCACACCAAGTATGGACTGATGTGGAATCTGTATGCTGTGCACTAGGAAATGCTGACCCTGAAAAGCGAGCAAGGAGAGTGAGGAAGACCAAGTGCCCAGACTGAGCAGCTCACGTCCATGCACAAGCATCCGTCTCTCCCTGCCATTCATCTCTGAGACTCCAGAGGTTGTAGGAAACCAGAAGAGCCAAGGGAAGGCAAGGGAGAAGTATGGAGCTGATTAGGAGAAAAGGCCCTTTCCAGGAGTCTGGGGAATTACCTTCCCGGGTGAGTCTGTCTCAAATCCCTTTCTTTCTGGAGTAACGAAAGTAGACTGATTTCACATTTACACATTTGTCGGAGTTGAATTTCTGTGGCTGAGAGTATGAGTTCTTTGTGGCTCTTTAGGAACCCTCTACTTTCAGTGATGAGGAAAATGAGAGATGTGTATGGAGACAAAACGTTTTAGAATAGGTCAAAAAAACATGAACGAGTTTGGTGCTGACAGCCCCATATTACTATGGAATTGTTTGTCCATTTCATCTCTTGTAATGAAACTGGAAGCTTTGTTTAACCAGTTACTTCTATACTAATTACAATCTTGGGGAGAATAAGGGGCTGTGGACTTCCTATGGCTATTGATATGTGACTTAATGCTAATGACTCACTCACTCCACCTGCAAACATAGGGCTTCTTCTCCCCAGAGTGTGTCCTCTGGTGTCTGATGAGATGTGACTTGCGTGTAAAGCCTTGCCCGCACTCCCTGCAAACATAGGGCTTCTCCCCAGAGTGTGTCCTCTGGTGTGTGATGAGATGTGACTTGTATGCAAAGCCTCGTCTGCACTCCCTGCAAACATAGGGCTTCTCCCCAGAGTGTGTCCTCTGGTGTGTGATGAGATTTGACATGCATACAAAGCCTCGTCCGCACTCCCTGCAAACATAGGGCTTCTCCCCAGAGTGTATCCTCTGGTGTGTGATGAGATTTGACTTGCATGCAAAGCCTCGTCCGCATTCCCTGCAAACATAGGGCTTCTCCCCAGAGTGTATCCTCTGGTGTCTGATGAGATTTGACTTCCATGTAAAGCCTCGCCCACACTCCCTGCAATCATAGGGCTTCTCCCCAGAGTGTGTCCTCTGGTGTGTGATGAGAACTGACTTCCATGTAAAGCCTTGCCCACACTCCCTGCAAACATAGGGCTTCTCCTCAGAGTGTGTCCTCTGGTGTGTGATGAGAACTGACTTCCATGTAAAGCCTCGCCCACACTCCCTGCAAACATAGGGCTTCTCCCCAGAGTGTGTCCTCTGGTGTCTGATGAGATATGACTTGTGTGTAAAGCCTCGCCTGCACTCCCTACAAACATAGGGCTTCTCTCCAGAGTGTGTCTTATGGTGTCTGATGAGATTTGACTTGGATGTAAAGCCTCGCCTGCACTCCCTGCAAACATAGGGCTTCTCCCCAGACTGTGTCACCTGATGTGTGATGAGATGTGATCCATCATTAAAGCCTTGCCAACACCCTCCATGCTCGATTGTTACAATTTTTGACATTCCTCCTTTCACAAAGAACTTGCCTGTGTCCTCTGGATTCTCTTTCTGGCCTCTCCGGGGCTCTTCTTCCATCAGTCTCTCGTGCTCACTAGAGCTCATTTGTTCTTTGGATGGTTGGAAAAAGGGTTTTGAGATTCTCCTTTGATTGATCCTTTTAAGCAAATGTTTGGACCTTTCTTTGACCTCTTGACCTTCAGCTTTATCATTCCAGCTGAGCGTACTAGTATGTTGCTGCTGCTGATTCTGATCCTCTGGACAGGGTTCCTCTGCTTGGAGCTGTTTTTTTGCAGATGTTCCTGGGAGAATCTGAGAGGGATGACTGAGTTTCACGTGTCGGCTGAGGAATTTCTGACTGGAGAAGGCCAGAAAGCAGGAGGGACATGGGTGCACCTCTGGCTTTGGTTCTGCTGAAAGAGAAAGGTTTGGTCAGGGCAGGTGCTGACGACAATGCCTGGGCTGTATGATTAGTCTCCTGGTAAGACCTGCCCCATGAGTCCTTCTTACTGTGGTGACAACACAACCTCTGTCTCCCACAGTGTCCACTTGCTGTCTATTTTCCTTTTTATTTTTATGCAGTGCATCTTCTTCAGAAATCCAGAAAGCCCACATCAAGGGTCTATTCTAATATTGCCCAGACTAGGGATTTTTGGAGCATGAGAGGCCATTTTACTCACTTTGTGGATCAAACTGCAGTGTTGTTTCTCATCTACAGGTATCTTCTAAGTCATGTTAAAGAGGAAAACCACAGGTCCCAACTAGGAATCGCTTGTCTCGGTTTTCCAAAATAGTAAAATGAAATGTTCTTCCTCAAGCCTCACACCAAATATTTATTTATGCTTTATCTCATTTAGTGTTAGACTATTTCAAATACACTAAGACCTGTTTCAAAATATTTCAACCACATTTCTTAAACACCTGACTCCTGTTTCTCTCTGGCCAATCCACCATGCTCTCTTACTTGGAGATGAAGTAACCTGAGGGAATTCCCCACTGGAGTTTATTTTCTAAAAATTAACAAAACATAATCAGAATAGAGAACACACCACTCTACGGCTGACAACTGCACACTTTCACTCAGGAAAGTCCCCAGTGTCTCAACTCGGATCATCGGCACTGCATCTCTGGGCTGCTAAGCATCTGTCTGATCTCTGTTTTTACCCTCTGTGCTGAGACGAGACCTGAGTGACCCTCAGCCAATTCAACGCCCCATCTCTTTTCTTCCCTGGCCTAGCTGCTACCTCTCCCTGGGATCTCTGCCCGCAGGTAATTTTTGTAAATGTTGTCTCCTGAGAGAGCCCTTCCCGGACCACCTGCCACACGCCTCCCCTCACACTAATCCCCAGGCACTTGTCCTAGATTAGTTTTCTCCAAAGCACTACTGCTGTGTGGTGTTATGCACACGTAAGCATGTGTGCCTGGGTTTCTCTCCTTCACCGGTCAGCTCCTCAAGAGCAGTGATTCTGATCCTCACATCAACCTGTATATCCAGGTCCCAGGACACCATGCACCACAGAGTAGGATCTCTCATGATAATTCACTGAAATGATGAACGAATGTGCCCTGCCTGAATGGTGTGGCTTGGTGGGTTGGGTGTTGTCTGAAAACTGAAAGGTTACAAGTTCGATCCAGTCAGGGCACGTGCCAGGGTTGTGGGCCAGTTGGGGGTGTGCCAGAGACAACCGGTTAATGTTTCCCTTGCACATTGATTTTTCTTTCTCTCTCTTTTCCACCCTGTAAAAATAAATAAAATTTCATTAAAAATTTTTATTTATATATTTATTTATTTTCAGAGAAGGGGGAAGGGAGGGAGGGAGGGAGAGGGAGAGAAACATCGATGTGTGGTTGCCTCTCACATACCCTGTACTGGGGACCTGGCCCCAAACTCAGGAATATGCCCAACTGGGAATCAAACTGGTGACCCTTTAGTTCACAGGCTGGTGCTCCATCCTCCAAGCCACACCAGCCAGGACAAAATCTTTAAAAAATAATGAATGCCTACAAACAAAAATGTTTTATTTAGAAGTATGGAGGAAAATTAAGAAACAGCTATAAAAGTGTCAGAAAAACTGCCTTGGTGAGAGAACTGGTTAGTGCTTGAAAATTTTTGTTTTGCCCTTCAGTCTTTGAGCACTATATGCGGTTGTGTGTTTTGTTCATGAATTTTTTTAAAAAGTAAAAAATACAAAAATTTTGCCTAAGAGTCAAAGGCATAGAACGAATTGTGAATTTCTGAAGCATCTGAGTTGAAACTTTACTGACTTTAGAGTGGATTTTACTCCATTTAAGAGTTGGGTCATGAATATTTCTATAAAGAATTCTCTCTTTCCTTTCTGTTTTGAAGAACAGTGATACTCACCTCTCCCAGCTGCGAGCTCTTTCTTCCACTTGCTGCCCCACTTGCTGCCCAGCTCCTGGCCATACTCATCCCCGCACCAGACCAGCAGCTCATGGCCCGGCCTAATGACACGGCAGGTTCGGTAGAAAATCTGCCTGTGATATTGAAAGGCCACCAGGTTCTGCTCTTCATCATCCCGGGCACAGTTTACAAACCTGGGATTGAGGCAGAGGAAGGGAAAGAAAACCATGGTGATGAGTTCCCACTACCTGTTACATCCATGTCCAGCCCCTCACTGATTCTTAAGGCCCTCAGGCTCTGGTGTTGCCCACTGCCCCTAATGATTCCTGGGAATCTTTGTTTAGTGTCTGAGCATCTGCCAGCATGTCATGTGAATTCCTACCTCCAAGTACTGCTGGCAGTGTTCATCCTGCCTATTACTATTTTCTAAAACCCAGTTCTAGACTTAACCTCCACCCTGACTGTCTGTAACATCCAGTTATCTCTGGCTTGTCCAAACTCTTAATCAAGTTGTCTCACACCACAGAACCTGGTGCTTGATCTAGGGCTCTGCTTCTAAATCAGCTCACTAATGATCCAGTACTCAGTCCACAACTGTTTTCTCTTGGGAGGCCTTTCTCCAACCCCCCTACACTTTATGTAGAATATCATTCACTTGCCTGCCCAAGGTTACTATAGAAAATTGAATATCTTTTTGTCTTGTTAGAATAAAACAGAATAATAGTAGTTGATTCACATTCTGTTAACCCTGATAAAAGAGAGCTCCTCTCAGGAAAAGGGCCCATGACTGTTCCTCTGCGGGCCTCAGAGCCCAGTTCTAGTTTGGAATGAGGCTGGGATGCTTTGCTGCCCTCACAGGTTTAGGCCACCATTGGTTTGTACTATCTTGACACTGCACTTCTTGGAAAATAGTTAAATGTTCCTAAAAGTAATTGTTTTATGTCTGTCCGTGAGAAGTCCTCCATAAGGACATGGGTTGTGTGATCTGTTTAAGTAATGTTATATCCCTTTACCTAAACTGGAATATACTAAGTGCTTAATTAATGTTCATTTAATAAATTAAAGTGTAATCCAGTGTCCCAGGTGAATCTAGGCTCTTCAAGGACCTTTCCAGAGCCCAAGTTGTGTCTAGTAGAGAGCTTTATATTTTAAGGACATATGCAATACTTTCTTCCTAAAAGTCCCCTAAAATGAAAGAACATTGTATGGAAAAAAAAGAGGGAAAAAAGGATTGAGGGAGACCACTGAGGGAGGCATGATGAGAGGGACAGATATAGGGGCTCATGGGGGATGAGAGTCCCCTCTGACATCCAGAGACCTGTTGACCTCACCTCATCCAGTTGGCCCAGGATCTGTCCTTTCCATCCACATACTCATAGCAGTTTCTCCCTTTGGCGATCTGTGTTTCAGAAAAGAAGTTGAAGACCTTTTATTTTTTTCTGGGGAGGTAATAGTCAGAATTATTTTACTCCACAGTCATCAAAGCTCATTCAGCCTGCATGGGGATTCAAGTGCCAGCTGTGACCACATGATATTTTTCTTACTCATCACCTACACACCTGAGTGTACCTGTCCAATCAGAGCAGGACCCTCACAAGGGAGGAGCCACTCCTTTGTGTCTGCACCACTTTGCTCCCACTTACCTTCTAATCCTTCAACAGGAGCTCTGTGTTCATGTGAAGTCCAGTCACTACACAGAGCTAACCACATCATCCCCTCCATGTCTAGCACGTAAGAGGAGAGGTCCCCCCAAGCCTCAGAAGGAATGTGGGAAGCCAGAGGACAGTGGAAGAGGCAAATAGTTCTCACCAGCCAGGAGTATCTGCTCTTGGCTGCCTCTTCATCTTCTGTGATGTGTCCTTCATAAGGGCCAAAGTGCAGACCCACAGGCAAATCAGCTGCCTCATTCCACACTCCAAGCCCAGCCTCAGGGATGCTGGATGGCCCGATTCTCAACCCAGGGGGCAGGGTGAGGGCTGAGCGGTGGGGATGCCCCTTGTCCACTGCACTGTCCTTTACAAATGTAGGGGGCCCATGCACAGCACAACTGTCGACGAAGAAGTTCTGACACTTCTCACAATCTGGAGGCGAGAGCAACACAGGTTAGGGAAGGTGTAGCGTATGTTCCTAGACACAAAGACCTTCAGAGGGAGTTCTGCAGTCACACCATTGAGACTCAGTCCTGTACTCCAGGTCACTAGAGGAAGGGAATGATTTGGGGACCAAAGGAGTAGATGAAATTATTGTATCGTAACATGCTTCTTAGTGAGGGTCACTTACAAAGGTAGTCATCATCCTGGGGTTCGTTGACCTCTTGGTGCACATGGCCCTTTCTTTCTCGTAGGCTGTACATCTTTACGTCCATCTCCTTTCTCCTGGGTTCTAAGTTGGAGAAGGCCAGGTGAGTGAGGTTGTGGGGTCTGGAGTGTTAGTTCCCATTTTGTCAGAAAACACAATCTCCTCTCATCAAATGACCACCTGTCCTTTTGCACACCCTGGTATTTTACTCTGTTAACTATTGGTTCAGAAGACTAAGACTCCACACTAACTACAGATGACTGATTCAATTTTAGTTTCTAGATCTTCCCATTACCAGTTTTAACTTGCCAATGTTTAATCATTTGTAAAATATTTATTGAGTGGACATCATGTGTTCGGCATTGCGTAAAGGCCTGGGCACACAACACCGGTACAGTGCGGTTGCTATTATCACAGATGGATTTTTTGGACAGCTTGCATGTGTCACCTGTTTTAAATTCAATTTAATGTTTTCAAACAATATATGACTGATGTTTCCTTATCTTCACTTTACACATTAGCAGGCAGGAGCTCAGAGAATTGATAGGATTTGCCCAAAGCTCCATTGCTAACTTCAGTCTCAGCTTAGCCCACCTTAAATCCAGGCCCATCCAAAGTCCTCCTCACATACCCAGGTCATACTCATCAGCCCTTCTATAGGACTTAGAGGAATTAAAGTTTCCAAATTATTTTTTCTTACCTGATTTTCGTCTAGTGTGCTTTCCAAAGGCACATGCTTCTCCAGGAGGGGACACTGGTCTCTGGGCCTGCTCTGAGTCACTTGCAGTCCTCAAATTTGCTGTTCCTGACAATTCCTTCAAACTATATTCATTGCTTAATGGCACCTTGGATGTTTCCTTCAATATAAGAGTCAGATATTAAAAGATAACATGTATTTAACTATTTAAGGCTTATGATACAGTTTACGTGCATGTCTCTAATACTTCAACCCTTGGAAATACCTGGGGAGAATGAGTATCAGAGGGGACGGAGCCAATGTGGGTAATGAATCCAAGATTAGAAATCATGCCTTTCAACTGTGTCTGTAATATTGATAAAATATTGGAAAGAATATTGGGAAGAGAATAAAGAGTTGGCAGAAATATATCTAGACAATAAATTAAATGGTGATAAAATTTACAATACCTTAGAAAGACTATTTGTACTTAAGATTAGCTGGTTCCAACCAGTTCTGTTTGAATAAGGCTGTATCATCAGTAGCTAGTTGTCTTCAGTTTCATGAACTATATAGCATGCTAATTTTCAATGTTATAGTGAATTTGCAATTAAATAATGCTCACCAGTGTTCTGTGAATTGTGTTATACAGTATGAAGTGAGATTACAGTCCTGCTAGCAACCTGCCCCTCAGCTTTCTCCATATTTAAATCTCACAGATATCACCTTCAGCACTCTTTGGTCATCTTATAGTTTAATTTGTAATTGTGAAATCATTCATTCAACAAACATTTGGGGGCCCTCAGGGGTCCTGATCTGGGCCTGTGACCTCTGAGAAATCTCAGTTATGGACCAGGCTCTCAAAGAGCTCACAATGCAGAAGCTCTTTGCAGGCTGAACAAATGATTCTAAATGGGATGAGAGTGGCCTCATTGAAGAACTCAGAGAAAGAAGCTGTTACTTCCCCGTATAAGAAAGGGCATTTGAAATCAGTTCCAGATGGATGAGTTTCTATAGAAGAGTATGTAACTTATATGAAGTCCTTTGTAGGAGACAATTCTACGTGGCGTGGGCCCAGCCCCCAGTGGCAAACATTTACTGCAAAGTAACTTCCTCAAATCCTTGCTAAACCTTCCAAGGATGAGGGTAACCTGTTCAAGCACTTTTGCCTTTTCATTTGCAAATATCCCTCTTTGGTGATGTGTTTAGCTTCTTTGTTCTCTATAAAAGGTAACCACCTAAACCAACCTGTGCATAGTAAATAAAGACCATCATGTAATGTGCTGAGAAACCCAATAAAGTTGCTACCCTTGAGAGAAAAGCCATGCTGTCACTTTTCCCCCACCAGACTCGGTAGTGTGTGAACGTCTCATTTCATCCATAATGATGCGGACACTGCAGGCCGGTGTGTGCATCAGTCCTTAAGTCATTTCATTATTTGTTGTTTCTCAATCATCAAACCTGAAGCTCCTCAGGGGTGGGAGATGCTCTTTATTAGAGTGGGAGGCTGTGATCCTGGACATTTTACATTCTCCTTCTTCTGGGACCATCCACTGTACAAACTGCCTGTGTATTGTACGCTTTCCTTACTCAGAGGGTCTTAGTGCATCTCTCACTTCAGCATAGCAGAGAACTTTGGTTGAAACAGTCCGATGAATGATGTAATGACATATGGATGAGACAATGTAAACTTTACAAAACTATGAAAGTTTATTTATCTAATTTTTAAAAAAGACTTTGCTTTTTTTCTTGAGAGAGAGGAAGAGAAGGAGAGAGAGAAACATTGATCAGTAGCCTTTCACATGCGCCCAAACCAGGAAACTGGCACACAACCCAGGTATGCGCCCTGACCAGGAATCAAACCAACAATCTTTTGCTTTGCAGGATGACACCCAACTAACTGGTCATGGTGGCCAGAGCAAAACTCTGAAAGTTTTAATGAGTTCGTAAGTGGTTTGGAGAAGCAACTATGGGTTAGATTGCACTACCCCTGATACTGTGATCTTAGAAATATAGTAGTCAAACTTTTCTGTATCTCTGAAAGCTCACTTTCCTGATCATAAATGGTGACAGTTATAGTACGTACCTCACTGGGGTGTTGTAATGTTTAAGTGAGTTTATTCATATAGAATTTTTAAAGTCTGAAACATTGTAAGAATGAAACAAATGGTACTCACTACTGTTGCTGTAGTTGTTAACTATTAAGATGATGATGAGCCCTGGCTGGTTGGCTCAGTGGACTGCGTGCTGGCCTGCAGAGTGAAAGGTCACCAGTTCCATTCCCGGTCAGGGCACATGCCTGGGTTGCGGTTCAGGTTCCCTACTTGGGGGTGGGTGAGTGGCAACCCATACAGGTGTGTCTTGCACATGCTTCTCTCCTTACTTTCTCCCTTTTTTCCCTTCTCTCTAAACATCAATAAATAAAATCTTTTAAAAAAGATGGTAAAATTGAACAATGTGTTGAAGAGATCAGGAAAGGCAGCAGTTCCTAGGATACTTTCAGCATTTTCCTACTCTTATCTGCGTTTCTATCCATGGGGAAAATTTTCTTGTCAACAGGATTTGAGAAATACTCACCTTCTTAGGTTTACTCTGTTCCCTTCTGAAGGCCACCCAAGAAGGTTTCACTGAAAGATGATGAGAAATCAGTGTTTTCGTTGGTAAATGTTTCCAAAATCTAAAGATTCTTATTAGGGACACAGACTTCTGAAACAGTAGTCTAAGAACAATCCCAGGATGACTGAAAAATGTTTTCTGAGGTTTCATTAAGGCCTATGTTTCTATTGGGGCCACCCACTAATTTCATTTGAATGATAAAAAAATAGACAAAGTGTTATCTATGCTTCACCCTATGTTCATAAAGTACCTATTATCATTTATTAAAAAATAAATTGGCCTCTCCTGACAAAAATGTAGTGAAAGTAACTGCACAGAAACTCCGTGTCTTCAACATAACCCTTTCTCCGTCCTGTTTTCTGCATTTGAACTGGCCTTGTCTGGACTAAGGGCACCACGACCACCTCGCCTCCTTTCTCTGGTATCCTCCCCCCGGTGCACATACTGGCCATCCACGCCCTTCCTTATCATTAGATTCTGGTCAGCACCCACAGTCTGATGACCACAGAAACAGAATTCCAGTCAAGTTAAAGATCACATCCTGACTTCAGCTGTGTTTCAATCCCAGACGCATGAAAATGGACTGACTCTACCCACTGAACACTCATGATTCTGGACAGAACAGCACCATGGCCAACATCAGGAAATGATACAGTGATCAACCACTCCTGACCTTGGCCATCCCCAGCTCCCGTAATCACTATGGTTAATACTGTTCCCGTCTGTCTCCATGCAGGCCATCATGCAGCCAGCTGTGGGGACACTCCTCACCTGTCAGACCTGTCTCCCTCTCTTGCGATGACAACTATTCTGAACTAGTTATTTCTTATTCACGTGTATGTTCTTATACATGTACTGCTTATTAGTGTATCTATAAATATATATGATTATGTTTCACATTTGAAAGTTTACAGGAATATTCCCTGATTGTATGATACACTGTTCTGCATCCTGCTTGTTCGCTGGACCAGCAAACACGTCCCCTGGTTAACTGCTGAGATGCAGCCTGACCTAAACCAGGTCTGTGTCAGGAGGGCAGCTCTAGCTCCTCCCGCCCCTCACCTTGCTGCCTTGGAGTCCATTCTTCATCCGAGTCCTCAGGGTCCTCCTCCTGGAGCTCAGTGGCGCGTCTGTGGCGACACATGAAAGCTGGTCGAGGGGCTTTGAGACCTGGAAAGAGACAAAACCTTTGTCCTGAAAGCAAAGAGCCCAGAGGAGCAAAAAGCACCAGGAAGCCCGTGGGACTGGCCCCGATGGGATGGGAGAGTAAAACTGGGATGGGAGAGTAAAACGAGTGAGCACGGCACAGTCAGCGCCAGCCCTGCTCTGCCGCTAAAGAGCAAATGCCCCCTGCTCGGTGTCCCTGCAGGAGGGAGCTGCGGGCGGATGGAGCAGCCTGAGTCGGAGCCAGCGCAGCAGCCTGTCGGGCCACGGGACTCCTCCTGCTCAAAGCCTGCAGGCTACCTAGGCTGGTGAGCACGTGGAAGTTCCTCTTCACGTTCTGGTACCGGCGTTTCTCCCAGTCTCCCATCGCTGCCCACTCCTCCCTGGAGAAGTAGAGGGAAGCGTCTTCCAAAGCTTCCTCGGCCTGGAGAGGAGTGGAAACACCGGTAACTCGGTGATGCGAGTGAGGACGCTCACTGAGGGTCTTCCCGACCCCGTGAAGCAGAGAACCGTCTCTCCCACCAGCGCCCTGCACCCGCACAGCCAGGGTCGCCCCGAGGGCCGGGCGTCTGCGGAGCCCTGTCCCACACTCCCCGCCCCTCAGCTCACCTGCGGCAGCCGCCGCGTCCGCACCGCTTCTCTCTCGGGGCTGTGCTGCGGGCCCCCGTCGGGGTTCATGGCGTCCCAGCCCCAAGTCCCAGGCGCCTGTGGAAGGAGAAGGCGCTGAGAGGGCCAAAGTCCTTTCTCCAGGCTGGGGCGCGGGCCCTGCGGGAGGAGGGGCTGGATGCAGGGGCCGAGCTGCCCGCAGGGGGCGCCCTGTTCCCGCCCTTCCCTCGCTCGCCTCTTCAACTCCACAAGTTTGGGCGCCTGAGAGGCTCCGTTGGCGGTGGGCTTGTGGCGGCGCCCGGAAACCCGCTCTTCCCGGGGAAGGGCCCGGAGGTGCACCCGGGGACCGGGAGAGGCCCGCACGAGACGCAGGCGCGGTCTCCGGCAGACCGCCGTCTCTCAGCCTGACAGGCTCGGGGTCCCTGAGACCCGATTCTGCGTCTTCCGGGCTGAGGACACTGCGGCCGGGGGGAGGGTCAGACCCTGGGGCTGAGGAGATTCGGGGCATCTCATCGAGGGGCTTCAGGGTCCCACCACTGAGTCGGTTTCCAGGACGACGGCATTCAGCGTCTCTGAGTTTGGGGCGATTTGGTCTTTCCGGGCGAACTGCACGTAGCGTGCCCCGAGCTGGGGTTTTCGGGCTGTTTGGGGGTCTAAGCGTTGGGGGTCCTCCGAGGTAGCGCACGCGGGCCCCCCGATGCTGAAGGGGTTTGGGATGAGGACACCTACGGTCTCTTAGGCGGGACTTTGAAGGTCTCGGGCTAAGGCCTCCACATGGCAAAGCTCCCCGCTTACCGATCAGTCGCCCGGGGTCCTTGCCGCGCTGCCCACCTCGATAGAGATGGAGCTTCCTCTCCGAGCTCCTGGGCTTCTCGCCCTCGGAAGGAGGGAGGGCGCTTGAGGCGAGGGAGGGGCCTGGGTAGCCACTCCAGAGCAATCCGCCAATCAGTGCTGCGATTCCCGGGCCCTGCCCGCCAACAGGCGGTCAGAAGACGCTAAAAGGGCGGGGCAGGGGGCGGTGCCCCCTTGGTATGGGACTGGATGGCGGAAGACCCGCCTCACTCCGCGGGGATTGGCTACCCTCACGTGTCACAGTCTTGGCGGTTCCCCAGCAGCTGGTGAGGGACCTGACCCGCAGGAGCTGAGAGCTCCCAGCCCAGGCCTTTCTTTAGGGTGAACGTGGCCCTCCTGCCGCCTGACAAAGTGTTTTTATTCCACCAGACTGTGATCGGGATCCCCAACTTTCGTCTAGGCCCGTTCTTGCCCTCCCTTGTCAAACCCACTTTTGCACACAGTCAACACTGCATTGCATTCGGTGGAAACATGTCAGTAAATTCTGACCACGCTATTCACAGACACAAAATAATTCCCAGAGAGCTCAAAGATTTAAACGCAAAAAGTGACAGAATAAGTACACCGGAAAACACACTGGGAGAAGTTCACATCTCAAAAAAGTGACGTTATGTATGAGTAATATGAGTAATAGGTATGTTTAAGTAACTCAGGTGCAAAAACATTTCAGAAATAGGAAGACAAGATAAAACCAAATAAAACTAAGTAAGCTTTTAAAATGCTGAGAAAGCCTACAAGTATTTTGCATAAAAATAAGATATCAAGTTTGAGGACAGGGTCCACAGAGCAGGGTCAGTGTAGCTGCTACTGGCTTTCACGGAATAAAGTGGGAAGAGTGTTTCTGGTCCATACCTCGTTTTGAGCCCGTAAATATAACTTCATTTCCATGGACTGGAACTGCGCCAACTAACTGTAATTATTACTGTGAAACTGCATAAAGGGAAACCTGACCAAAGTGGAGTTGGGGGTCAGTGGGGGTGCTCCACATAGCACCACCCAGGGTCAATTACAGGAAAAATTGTCTGTCACAGGCCCCAACATGAATATGTACTGTGTGCTCCCAGGAGAAACTGACTCCCCAGCAACTCAGCCAGAAAGAAGCCATGGTCACCCTGAACTGAGGATTTTCTGCACTGCACTTTCATTTGAAATGACCCCTCCCAACTTCCTCCTTTCTCCCTGTAGAATAACATTCCTCTCCTATACTTGTGGAGCTACCTATCTTTTGCTAAAGCTTGCTTGTCCTAAATTGCATTTTTTTGTTACTATTTCTGAATAAACCCCTTATGTGCTGATAAAATAACTGCCTGCTATATTTTTAGGCTCAACATAATTTGGTGGCTCATATGGGGATCCAGAGGACTTCTGAGATCTCTGAGGCTGATGAGCAAGCAGTTGCAGTGTCCTTGCTCTGAAAGACTCAGGGAATGGTCCTTTGGTGCAGACTCTCCAGATCATTTCGAGAATAGCTATTCGGAAATGATATCCTCATACCCTCTGACACAGATATTCCACTTTTCAAAGTTTTTTTTCCAGTAGCCCTGGCCTGGTAGTTCAGTTGGTTAGAGTGTCCTGCCTATATGCCAAGGTGGTCAGCTCATTCTCCAGTCAGGGCACATACAAGAAGCGATCAATGAATGAATACATAAGTGGAATGAATACAATGAATTCTCTCTATTTCAAATTAATAAATGAAACTTTTTTAAAAGCATAAAAATCCCCCCAGTTATGCTTCCCTGTGTATGAAATGAAGTATGTTAAAAATATTGTATTCAACATTTATATAATAACATATCATTTTAAAGTTTTAAGTAGAAGAGAATTTGCTAAAAATGGTTTGATCACACTGTGATATATTATAGAATGTTGAAAATGGGTGAGGATACATGGTATTTCATTAAAGAAACAAAACCGCCCTGGCTGGTGTAGCTCAGTGGATTGAGCTCGGGCCTGCGAACCAGACAATCGTGGTTTGATTCCCAGTCAGGGCACATGCCTGGGTTGCAGGTCGGTTCCCTGCAGGCCAGTTTCCAGCAGGGGGTGCGCAAAGGGCAACCATACATTGATGTTTCTCTCCCTCTCTCCTTCCCTTCCCCTCTAAAGATAAATAAATAAACAAATAAAAAAAAGAAACAAAACCTCGTAAGGTGGTTCTAATGGACTTTAACAGAGAATAGTTTCTAAGTAATGTTGTTATGTGAGAAAAGTATCCTGCAAAACAAATTGTGTTAAAAAAAACCCAGGCAGAGGACGTGCTGGGAGGAGACACAGGGACTATGCGCCGGGATCAGGGCCTGGACAAAGTGGAGGGGAAAACTTGCTTTTCCTTCATGTCCTTTGGAGTATTGTGTCATTTGTTTTCTCCTTTACTTAAATTTATCTATAATTATTTTTTGTATATAAAAGAATGGATGAGAAGTAGTTGGTTATATATGTGTGCATATAAAAATGACTCAACAAAAATTCTGCACATCTTCATTACATCCAGTGCCTGGTGCTGCCTTCTCTATCTGAAGAGCACCTTGACCACCCAAAGTGTCCAATTTGCACCCAAAAGTCTATTCCAGCAAGAACATTTCTACAGTGCAAAATGTACTGTCTCACAGTTACTGTTTGTTTGAGAGATAGAAACCATTCATTATAAATACAATGAGTTTTATATTTAAGTACTGGATCCAAGGTCATTTACAGAAATGCAATTAAGAATATTACAAACCCTGACTAGTGTGGTTCAGCTTCTGTGTCTGGCATCTGGCAACTAGGGTTCATTGTCCAGCTTCCACTCTGAAGTCTGGCTCTGGAGTCTTGGTTATAGATCTTGATCCTGTCTCTGAGGTCTGTGGCCTGGATTTGACTCTATTTGGCTATGGGTATCAGATCTCGGGTCTCTTTGGGTGTTGCTTTGGGGTCTCTGGGTTTGTGTATAGGGTCCACGTGCATGTCTATAAATTTAGAGTCATTAGCTTCAAGTTAGTGCCAAGAGGAGTCCCAAAGTTGGGGTGTGTTGAGGAAGGAAACTTTAATGCAAATACCTCAATTTTAATACAGAATGGCTGTGAATACAAAAAGGTTGTTAAGAAGCTCAGTATTGTCACAGGTGAATTATGAAGCAGCACGCTGTGTATCAACTCAGTACTGCTGCTTCTTAGTTATGTAGCATCAGGGCTGTGAGGAGGCCTGAAGTGAGGCAGCCCTGAAGCAAACTCCCTCTCCTGCTGAGCTGCGTAGGGCTTCTTCGCTCATTTACACGACTTCTGGTCTAGACCTTTCATTTCCTCTTTGCTGGGATGCATTTGCACAAGAAGAAGTGAAAACTGGAAAAGGAGCCCCTCTGAATGGTGAGATCAGGCTCTGGTGTTGTCACAACAACGCACTAGATTATTATTATTTGTAAATTATGCCGAGGTTTCCTCTAGTACTTTTTTTTTAAATTTATTTTTTTAATTGATTATGCTGTTACAGTTGTTCTATTCCCCCCTTCATTCCCCTCCACCCTGCCCCCCCATCCCCACCATTACCCCCCCTTTAGTTTATGTCCATGTGTCTCAAGTCCTTTAGGTTCTATATTTCCCATGCTATTCTTGCCCCCCCCATCTATTTTCTATCTACTGTCTATGCTACTTATTTTCTGTACCTTCTCCCCCCTTCTCCTCCTCCCACTCCCCTGTTGCTAACCCTCCTTGAGATCTTCATTTCTATGTTTCCACTCCTGATCTAGCTGTTCTTTTAGTTTGCTTTCGTTTTAGGTGTGGTTGTTAATAACTATGAGCTTGTTGTTCTTTCACTGTTCATGTTTCTTTAACTTCTTTTTCTTAGATAAGTCCCTTTAATATTTCATATAATAAGGGCTTGGTGATGATGAACTCCTTGAATTTGATCTTATCTGAGAAGCACCTTATGTGTCCTTCCATTCTAAACGAAAGTTTTGCTGGATAGAGCAATCTCGGTTGTAGGTCTTTAGATTTCATGACTTGGAATATTTCTTTCCAGCCCCTTCTTGCCTGTAAGGTCTCTTTTGAGAAATCTGCTGACAGTCTGATGGGGACTCCTTTGTAGGTGATTGTCCCCTTAGCTCTTGCTGCTTCTAGGATTCTCTCCTTCATTTTAATTTTGGCTAATGTAATTATGATATGCCTTGGTGTGTTTCTTCTTGAGTCCAACTTTTTTGGTACTCTCTGGGCTTCTTGGATTTCTTGGAAGTCTATTTCCTTTGCCAGATTGGCGAGATTTTCTTTTATTATTTGTTCAAATAATTTTTCCACTGGTGGTTGTGTCTTTCCCCCTTCTGGTACCCCTATAATTCGGATGTTGGAGCGTTTAAAGATGTCCTGGAGGTTCCTAAGACTCTCCTCATTTCTTTGAATTCTTGCTTCTTGACTCTTTTCTGTTTGGCCATTATTTGCTTTCTTCTGGTCCACTCCATTGATTTGAGTCCCAGTTTCCTTTTCATCTCTATGGGTTTCCTGTGGAATTCCATTCATTTCCCTTAGTTTAGCCTTCACATGTTTCTCTAATTTTTGGCTATAATCAACCAGATCTGTGAGGATCCTGATGACCAGTGTTTTAAACTGTGCGTCTGAGAGTTTTGCTATTTCTTCGTCGCTTAGATTTATCTCTGGGGCTTTGAGGTCTTCCTGCGACATTTTTGGTCTGTTCTGGCCCTTTAAGCGGGAGAAGCAGCGCCTTGGACTCCCAGTTCGCTGGGTTGTGACGCTGTATGTGGGGGCGTGGTCAGAGTGGGGAAATGGCAGCTCCCTCTACTGCCGCGTGCCACGGGACCGCCGGCCCCGGTCCAACCGCCCACTCCCTCGCCTGTCCGCTCGCCCGCAAATAGGCAACCGCAGTCAACACGCAGCACCGCCTCCCCACTGTCTCCTCAGCAGTCGCTCACCCGGTGGGTTGCTCGGTTGCTCACTAGGTCCAATCCTGCATTTGGAACCCGTGCGTCTGGATTCGCGCGTCTGGATTCCGCGCCTGGGTCCGTCCGACCGGAGTCCTCCTGTGCAACCCCTCACGAGACGCCGGTTTCACCCCTTACCGGTTG